AGGAGGCACAACATGACTACTAAGTCTCAGTCAAGAGAATTTCCATGGGTGTAGTTTTAGTCTTTTCTTTCTCTGTATCGTTTTCTTTCTTTCTTTCTTTTATTTTCTTTTTATCTTTCTTTCTCTGTATTTTCTTTCTTTGTACTGTTAACTTTTTTCAATAAAATTCTATTTTTCCAAAAAAAAAAAAAAATTACAGGCTTTTGGGAGCTGCAGGGTTTGATACCCGATCGGGTATATAGGATACCCGATCGGGTATCTTAGGAAATTGCCCAGAAAGTCACTTTTCTGGGCATACCCGATCGGGTATGTCGGCATACCCGATCGGGTATGTGATAAATCTTCACGAAAATTTGCTCCCACGATCATTTGTTCCCGGATTTGATTTGGACAATCGAATCAAGCGAATACCCGATCGGGTATAGGCAATACCCGACCGGGTACATGAGTATTTTATCCAAATCGAAATCTTTCTTGTATCCTTGCACTTTCCTTGATCTTTTAAGGTCCAATCTTGATCCCTTGGATGATCTTTGACCTGTTTAGCTCAGAATAATCTTAATCTAAACAAATTACAAATAAAAATGAAAATAAAACATTACACCAAAAGTGTGTAATTTCCACAACTACAACTAATAAAAACTAGTTAAAAATACAAACATACAACCGGAAATTACACGAATATCATATACCCATCAGAATTTTGGGGCGTGAGTCGGAAGAAGTAGTGGAACAACTTCAGGGTCAACAATCACTCCAACAGCCTTACAACCGACAAGAAATGAGGAAATAAAGCGATAGGAGTTGGGCATGAACTACGCCGGGGCCACTTGGAAGCAACTGAAAAACTCAATGTAAAAAGGGTGAAGTGGGAATCGCAGTCCGGCCCTGATGGAGTCAAAGTGCACCATGACCATCCTCAGGCGTCTCCTCATCATGTGGGTTGCGCCTCGGAGGCTATAGATGAGCGGATCAGGGAAGTAGATGCTAAGTTCTTTGAGGGCTGGATCCGAGAAGAACTGTTCATGCCCAATTGCATTCTTTATAGGGAAGAGGTGACGCTCCACGTCAACCGTGAGGCCCAAATAAAAAACCTCAACGTCGGACCCGTCAACGGCCTCAGTGCCCGAATAATAATCTTCCGGGCGCTCGTCGCCGGCAGCCGCATTCACTACAACCACCTGCACCGCGCCCACCTGAGGGGCATTGCCCTCACTCCCCCCAAGGGCGGCATCATTTTGGGTTGTATCAGCCGAAGTGGCACTCGCTGAGGTGGATGTGCCCGGGATCTCATCCTGAAAGACTGTCCCAACAACGGGTGGGGAGTCAGAGTGACCAGAGGTACTGGCGCCCTTAGAAGAACGGGACCCGGACTCAGCTCCAGATGTGGAATCGGAGGAAGAACCCGAATAGGAGCTCGAAGAAATCTCCATCGAAGTCATTTGAACCAAGAAGGGGTTACAGAAAGGGGAAATAGAACCAAATTATCTTGAGAGCGGCGGAAGTAAGTTGAAAGCCTCATCGACGAGCTGATGGCAGAGCAGCAGAGATTCTAGAGCGAGAAAGCAGAAATCGGGAACCCTAAGCCCCTGGGAAATCCCGGTATTTATAGAGGAGGCACCCTTACGGGGGCCAATGGGGAGGTGATGCGTGGCGAGGAGCGTACCCAGGAGCACGCGCCGCGCGTGGAATGAGGAGTGTAATGATGATATTCCCTCGGGAAACGCACCGTTTCTGCGGCAGCCATCACCTCGATTCCTGAACCATCACCAATTAATAAACACCATGGCGAGGAACATCCAACTCCGGGGATGCGGTAAGCATAAGCCCTGCGGCGTGAACGTCTCACCCTTAAGAAACAATGTACTTCTTTATGTCCCACGCATGCTCGGAACATCAGAAGTGGGGGACTTGTGTTGGGTTAATGGCCCAAATAAAGGGTCGGCCCATTCACCCCCCTTATTTCGGACGAACTTCCGGCCCAACGGGGCAGCCCGCCTCGATGAACGTCTGCATGAAGGCACGTGGATCAAACTAGTAGGCAAGTACAACAGCGACGAACGGCTGATTCAACGCCCTGCTTGCAAGCCCATCCCAACGAACGTCCGAACATATAGTGATAAATCAGGCCCACAAGCGAACTTAGTGGTGACGAACGTCGCCAACCCAAACCACAGTCACCAGATGCCAATCCCCTCTAAATGACAAATCCTCTAAGGGCTAGGATACGAACGGCCCATTATCCTTTGCAAGCGCCATCAGGGGCTGGCTTCCATCCCGGCCGAGACGTACGTCTCCACAACTTAGGCGGGAAACTCAGATTCTGGCGGGAAGCGCATTTAATGCTGGAGATTTGGTGGTTGGGGCACCAGCCACACACAGCCCTCCACGTCAACATAGCCAACCGCCCATTGGTAGTATAAATAGCAGCATTTATTTCATTGTAAAGGGTTGGCAACTTACTATTCTTAGCACTCTAGCTTACACTCCTCTTACTCGCAGCTCTTCTACTGCCTTGTAAGACGAACGGCCGACGAGCCTTAGCAAGCGTATTGTATTGGGGAGTTATTAACTGATTAATAATACCTAATCTCTTACTTGCTATCTACTGTTTCTTGATCCATCTTAGTAGCTTGTTGGGCTAGTTTATTCATACACATACCCCACTCCACTCGAAATCTTTGGGCTTACGTGTTGGACCCAAAGGTTGAAGGAATAAACCTCAACATATATGTAATATTTTTATAAAATTTTCATACTTTACTTAGAATATATATGTGTTCGGCCTCCTTAACTTCTTTGTTTTAGAATTAATTACAGAGTACTATATAGTATTACATAATGTAATACTTAATTGTAGATTTGAAAGAAGAAACATCTAAAATAATTTACATAACTTAAAGAAATAAACAATAGAAACAACTCATTATTTAAAACTTAGGATACTTATTATATAAAAATTCCTAATTTTGTAATGTTTAATCATCTTTGTTAGATTCTTCCAAAAACTTATCTTTGTTAGATAATTAGTACTCAGTTTTGGAAAATATCAAATGAAATTAAAGACCAGACACACTAGTTAAACAATTTTAGATCATGTGAAGTGAATCCAAAATATAAGTGTTTGTTGATATTAAATTACACAATTCATTTAATTCTTACACTTCATAAAAACAATTTATTGCATAGATAATAAACATTAACGTATTTTAGAATTAATACAAATATAATATGCACCATATATATATGGATCAGTATCATAATATTATTTTAAAAATAGTAAGCTCATACATATACTATTGCAATTCAAACATCAAATCTTTATTGCGATATGATTCATATGGTTAAATAAGACATAAGTTATTTACAAACTATTAATAGATATGTATGTTTTAAATTTTTCTTCAAATAATTTGATAATTAAAATGTTATATATCCTTTCTTATTTTCAAATAATTTTCCTTTGATTTACCATTTCTTACTCTTTAACGTATCAATACCTTTTTCTAGATCATTTCAATTATAAAATCAAAGTTAAGTTTCCATTGTCTAAACTTAGAATGTAATAGATTTAAATATCGTCATGTATGTGTATCAAAGGAAATTTTTTGAATAAAAAATAGCCGCAGAGCCCTTTACTAGGGAAAAAATTTCGCCCCGCTACACTAGCGAAAAAATTCGCCCGCTACACTAGCAAAAAAAAATTCACTCCCCTCCACAAACGAAATTTTTTTGCCTCCCTGGTAGAGACCTCCAAATTTTGAAGTAAGCCCATTAGTATTATACTTCGTATGTGTTGGTAGGAAATATCTTAGAGAAAAAAAAAACAGCAACAATACATAATAGTGAAAGTGATGTAGGATTACAAGAGTGTTGATGTGTTATTTATAGGTGTTTGCAACACGTCCGCTAACAAAGTAGCAATCAGGTCATGTCTTGGGCCTGGTCAGCCCACTCTAGGATTGAACGGGCTGCTAGTATATGACTCACACTATTACCCAACACGAATCCTTCACTCTCTTAGTCAAGAGCAATAAACACGACTGACAGGGAGTAGTTAAGTTTCTTTGGACTCAGAGTTCGTGCATCTTCCCCATCTGGCTGCACTAATCGACCTTATCATCCGGTCTAGCTCGTGAAAGGGTTCAAGGTCATGTGTCCTCCCCATACGATGTTGACCGGGCAATACCTTCATTAGGTTGAGACACATAATCTAGGGGGTCATTGTAAATGAACATGACACAGATTTCAAATACAAGCGAGTCATTAAAAACAAACTTGAGTTTTATGTTATATCCAAATTCCAAATGAGTATAATATTTATTGTGAATGTGTATTGATATAAAGGTTTTTTTTGTGCGGAAATTGATATAAAGGTTTAAATGAGCATTATTATGTGTTGACTATTGAAATGAGGTTTTGTTATTCTAAAATTAGTGTAACTTTTAAAATAAATGTGCACTGGTGTAAGTCTATAATAACGTTAATAAAACTCATTTTAATAAAATAAAATTTGTAAGTCTAGAATAATGAATTACGAGCCACTTTTGTTAATGCTTTGTTATATTTCTCATGAATAAATCTATCAATAAATTATTATATGAATCTAATTATATTAAATTGGTTTGTAATTAATGAATACATTATTTCACATGTGGTTTATAAAAGTGAATTTTATGCTACACATAGATGAGTATAACATTGAAAAGAAAATGAGCATTAATATGATATTGGAAAAAACACAACAAATACTTTAAATGACCCTACAGTAATGAATATACTTAATTAAATGAATAATTGATTTAATTTGTAATGAATATATTACAAAAAATTAGCATGTACGGGTATGATTTAGAGGTGAGTTTTATGAAACTCATCTCTAATCAGTATTGAATTTAAAAAATTATGTATTGGTATGAAATTATAAATGAGCATAAAGACTTCAAATGAGTACAACCTAATTATGACTTTACTCAAAAGAAATTTATATCAATGTTGCATTATAAAACAAACGTATATAATAAAATTAAATATTTTTTTTGGAAGAATTCGACTTATATTGATATAACAGATAATTCAGAGTATGGGTCAAACGACAAAAAGAAATCTGACAACCGTTATCCCGCGAACCAGACTCGGAATTAATCACCTCCTGAGAAACAATATAATTCGTTGATCCATAATTGGGAAACCTAAAGTCAAAAACGGTTACCGTATTCCTCTCATCCCCCACATCCAAAATAAGCGTCTTACAAACAGGAATATCAAAACCAAAAGAAGGCACACAACAAAATAAATAATCACTAAAGGAGAAAATAAAACAGATAAAGTAGATCCTTTGTCCGAGGTTGCCAAACCACACGATCACCCTAGACTTGCTTGCACTCCATGGCGGCGGTTCAGGAGGGGGACGTGCCCGCCGCTCAGCCGCCTCCATAGTCAAACTTTTGTGTTGATCCGTCAGGCATTGAATTGTAGCCAGACTACCAAGTCCTCTGCAATTCCATGTACCTGCACTCATCTTCCTCCTTCCAAGAACAAGGGTTGCCGTAGGACAAGGGACCTCCAAGCCGACTCGTTGATGGAGTAGCAGATCCCTTGCTGTTGCAGAACCGAGGCAAACCAATGGACTCGCTAAATCCCTTGCTGCTGCAATCCGAGCCGACATCGCTGAATTCCGATCTCACAAAAAGTCCAAACAGTCCGAAAGCAAAACCCAAACAATCCAAAAGCAAAATCCAAACTTCGAACCCCGGTGCCGCGGCCGAAACTGCCACCGAACAAGCCCTAGGCCAACCTAGATGGCGGCTCTAGAGAGATAAAGAGAAAAACTTTTTTATAGTGCTGTATGGTTCATAATCTCTAAAATTAAATAATTATAAACTGCTTTTTAATAGTTTCTCATTACAGAAACTGCTAATAATTGAGTAAATAAACCTAAATATATTAACTTGGATTTCAAAGAATATTTATATGCATAAGTTATTAAAACGAGTTTTAAGTTATGTATTTAATTTGACATTCTGTCTAATTTGATCTAACCAAAGTATCTGACCAAAAGAGAGAGGAAAGAAGGCATCCGACCAGGGAAGACTTTCAAAGTATTCTGCCCACCTCATAAACAAGAGTTTAAAAAAGGGGTAATTTGAGTTTGCACCCCATTTGATTGTCCAAATTGGACTTTGCACCCCGTTTTTAAAAATCATTGCTTTTGCATCTCAATCCCATATGAAAAGACAAAAATGTCCTCGATCAAGAATATGTTGAAGGCCAACAAAATTGTTAATGGAGGGACATTTTTGTCTTTTCATATGAGGTTGGGGTACAAAAACAAAGATTTTAAAAAATGAGGTGCAAAGTCCAATTTGCACTATAATATGGAGTGTAAACTCAAATTACCTCTTTAAAAAAGCCTTCTACACGAGTTTGATTATGTTCAGCCTCATTAAAGATTTCTTTATTTTTCAAATTGTTATAATTTTTGTATTTGTAATCCAATTTTTACAAAAAATACTCCATTTACAAAATTAAAATTTTTTATTATCTTTCTAGTTGTACCAGTATTACATGTAAAAAATTTGAAAACATATCTGTTTTCTCTAATAACCATTTAGCAGTAGTTTTTAAAATTTTAAGAAAGGCAATATTGGTAAAGTTAAAAAGTACTCCGTAAATTTTTTTGATACTCCTACATTTAAAAAAAAAATAGCCAATAAATGAAAAAGTTACATAGTACAGTAGAATAATTGCAAAGGTCCTTGTTTTTAGGGGTGACCAAAATTGTAGTAAATGACGGAACAACGCATGTTTTTGTAGGTGATTCCAAAGAGGGTAAGTTTTATTATTTGAAAAGATAAAACAGATTTGACGAATCTGTTCAATATTTGCAAAAAAATATGTTTTTTGACGGATTTGGCGAATCGATTGCCACTTTAACGGTGCAGATCAAAATTCAAAGGGATGAATTTGGCAAATCTGTCCGAAATAAAGAAATATATAGTTGGACATATTTTGCAAATATGTCCATGCACCGAATAATTTTATGGAGTCATATGTCTCTTATGGAGTCACATAAGCTATTGTGGCATCACCACAACCATACATTATTTTAGTGGGGATCCTCAATAAAATAATATGTGGTTGTGGTGATGCCACAATAGCGTATGTGACTCCATAAGAGAGTCACATATGGCTTCATAAAATTTTTGATCATCTAACTGCTCTAATTTCTTATCTTTTCCATATTTCGGCCATCTCCTTCATCTTAGTCCAAGTAAGTTTTTCGTTAATCATTTTTAGTTTATTTTAGTAAATAATTTAATTAGTGTTACTTAGAAATGAAATTAGTCTATAATTAGTGTTAATTTTTAATTGTGAGATAGGAACGTATCAAAAAAAGTGAAATAGGAAACTTACCAAATATTAGTTTATTTACCAAATAGTGTTAGAGATATTTTTGTTGTGATCAATGTTTAATTATTAAATGTCTCTTGTTGTATTTTATCTAGGCCTGGGACCGGTTCGGTTCCTCTTAAAAATCGGAAGAACCGTTAAGAAAATCACAATTCATGTTCTCGGTTCGGTTCCAATCAAAAAAATGTAGAACCGTTATGGAACCGAACTTATTGTTAACGGTTCGGTTCTTATCATTTATCGGTTCTTAAAAGAACTATAAACTTTCAGTTTCTGCCACAAAAAAAAAATACATCACAAGTTTAATCAATAAAACTATTACCCCATTTGAAATAACCACCAAATTTAAATTTAAAAGTTCAGGATTGTAAGAAGTTACGATGTATTGACACATAAAAGTTCAATTGCTCAAAGAAAAAAATTGGAGCTTAGAAAAGTACAATCAGTTCAGTCCATAATTCCAAAATTAACAATCTGTAAATTAGTAATCACTTCAATTGCTCCAAAATTAACAATCTGTAAATTAGTAATCCACAGTTCAGCCAAATTAAAGAGACAAATACACTTGTAAATTAGTGAAGTAATGGGTTTAGGAATGACTGGACTACTGGAGTAGTTATAAGCAATCAGACTCACATTTGGAGTAGTTATAACTACTCCTATGTTTTGTAGAAATATGCAATCAGACTCACTAAAAATCAACACATTTATATCATAAAAATTCTTCTTCAGAATTATGATTCAGGCTCCTAGACTAATATCCATTAATCCCTTTAGTAGGGTAAATGGTAGTTTTTTCTATCTTTAATAGAAATATGAAATACACACTCAATACAACATTATTCTTTATATGAGATTACATAGTTATCAAAAAACACAGCACTAGGTGGTGCTCTTTGAGTTATTCATAGGCTAGTACAGATTATAACATTACTTGAAAGAATATCTCATAGAGACACTTTAACAAACACCTTATAGGCATCCCCAACATTGAGAAAATTTGACATAAACTTCTTCATGATTTACCCCTAACATAAAGAAACCAAATACACTCTACAAAACACTACACAAAACATATACCAAAATCAAACCTTAGAATGAAGAATAAAAAATGATGTGAAAGCATAAACGAAATATGATCCTTCTCAAGTATTGGGTTCATGAGTTGGTAACTGTCAAGCTAAATATCACAGTTAAAGAAACTAAACAAATATTTGATAAAACAATTACACACAAATCGAGTTTGAAGTATTAAATAATTAAATATCAGATGTTTAGCTTAAAAATTCATTACCTAGATATGGATGGATAGCAGCGGTAAACAATGGGATATCGGAGGTTAGTGAAGAAGGAGAAGTATTTGGCAGAGAAGAAGCAGCGGTCGACGGTGAGTGGCGGTTGAAGGCGAGGAAGCGGCTATCATCTCTGGTTCAGCTGGATCTCTGCTAGTTTTTGACCCTTTGCTCTGGAGGTTCAACAATTTCTATTACTCTCTCCGTCCCCCTAACTTTGTCTCATTTTACCTTTTTTGTCCGTCTCATTAAGTTTGTCTCATATCATAATTGTAATATTTGAGCGGCTACAATTCATTCTTAATTTATTCACACTTTATCAATTCAATACCAACCACACAATTCTACTTTTTCTTAAAAGTCACACCACACTTCTTTGTCCCAAACTTAGGGGGACGGAGGTAGTACGTTCTAACTTATGGCTACGACACGTCTACGCGTCTACGTTCTAATTTGCTGGTCTGGCCTGGTCTGAACTGGTCTGGTCTGGTCTGGTAAGGTCTGGTTTCTTTGTATTTTTATAACTATCCAAGTCTGGTCTGGTCTGGTCTGGTCTGAACTGGTCTGGTCTGGACTGGTCTGGTCAGGTCTGGGCCAAATTATAGTCCAAGTATAAACATCCTTACTTAACCTAATTTTTATCGGTTCGTTGGTTCTAAGGGAAATTTTTAAACCAAAACCGGAAACTGAACGTTATTAAATACAAGGAACCGAACCGATTAAAACTCAACCCAATAACAAGAACCGAACCGAACCAGCTCTTAACGGTTCGGTTCTTTCCGGTTCTCCGATTCCCGGTTCCAAAATCTCAGCCCTAATTTTATCTAGTAACAAAATAGACTAGAATAGAATAGATCTATTCTAAATAGAATAAAGGCTAAATGGTCAAATTGGTACATGAACTAACTTAAAGTGTTCAATTAGCCCCTTATATAGGAGGTTCTGCCCGGGCGTCACCAATTGGAGCGGTTCCCGGTGGAATTTTTTGATAAAATTTTTTGATCATCTTCTTCATTAAGTCTAGTTTACCCATACCAAATTTCAGCTAAAAATTCAATCGGGAAGAGAGTCAAATGATTTTTTAAAAATTAAACAGCGCAATACAATTCGGAAAATCATTTGACTACCTTCCCGGTTGAATTTTTAGCTGAAATTTGGTATGGGTAAACTAGACTTAATGAAGAAGATGTTCAAAAAATTTCATCAAAAAATTCAAGCGGGAACCTCCCCAATTGGCGATGACCGGGCTGAACCTCCTATATAAGGGGCTAATTGAGCACTTTAAGTTAGTTCATGTATATATTTGACCCTTTAGCCTAGAATAAAAGGTGCAAAGGAATATTTGGGCCATATCAAATAAAGGTCCAATCATTGTAATGACATGCCCATTCCCTAGGCTATAAATATGCTTTAAGGAAATGGATGAGACAACTTTCCATACGCTCACCTAGCTGTCTCGTTAGACTAATTACATCTCAATTAAATAAAGTAATTAGATACAGTTCACAATCAAATACAGACAAATCAAAACAAATACAGACAACTCAAAAACAAATACAGACAACTCAAAACAACTGACAAACAACTAACCATCAATTACAGACAGACAGACAACTTCACGACTCTTACAGACTCCTCACAACAACATGACAGACAACTCAAAAAATACAGACAACTTACAAGCAAATGACAGACAATTACATATCAATTACAGACATTTAGTTTTCAAATGACAGACAACTTCACGAGTCTTACTAACAAATACAGACACTGCACTTACAAGTTGTCTGTCAGACAGACATCCCTTTTTATTTTGAAAACACACCCAAAAAAAACAAGAAAACAAAATCAAGAACAAAAAATCTGCTCTAAACTTCTTGGTCTACACCTTCGTTGTTCCTTCTTGTTCACCTAGCTCTCTCCGTTTGTCCAATTGCTATTGGTACCCCCAAAAATTACCCCATCTTTACCCCATATAAATACCTCCCCCACTTTTCTCCTCCCCTTCCTCCTCCCTCCCCCACTTTTCTCCCCCCCCCCTCTCCCCTGGTTCTTCGTTCCTTTCACACAGTCCATCCCCTCCCTTTTCTTTTTTACTTTTCTCCATTTCAAGATCTCTCCATTTCTTAAATGTTTCTCATTTTTACCATCTTTTCCTCCTTCAACCTTCTTCTCCTACTTCTCTCGTCTTCCGCCTTTTTTTTTCCGTTTCAAATGGCGGAGCTACAGTAATTGGACAAACGGAGAGAGCTAGGTGAACAAGAAGGAACAACGAAGGTGTAGACCAAGAAGTTTAGAGCAGATCTTATTTTCTTGATTTTTTGTTCTTGATTTTGTTTTCTTGTTTTTTTGGGTGTGTTTTCAAAATAAAAAGGGATGTCTGTCTGACAGACAACTTGTAAGTGCAGTGTCTGTATTTGTTAGTAAGACTCATGAAGTTGTCTGTCATTTGAAAACTAAATGTCTGTAATTGATATGTAATTGTCTGTCATTTACTTGTAAGTTGTCTGTATTTTTTGAGTTGTCTGTCATGTTGTTGTGAGGAGTCTGTAAGAGTCGTGAAGTTGTCTGTCTGTCTGTAATTGATGGTTAATTGTTTGTCAGTTGTTTTGAGTTGTCTGTATTTAGTTTTTAAGTTATCTGTATTTGTTTTGATTTGTCTGTATTTGATTGTGAACTGTATCTAATTACTTTATTTAATTGAGATGTAATTAGTCTAACGAGACAGACATTAAATATACACATACAAACATTATTTTATTGTGAATTACCATATTGGCATATGTTTTATAAAAAGACAGACAATACGTATTACTAGACAGGCAATAGAGATAACCAGACAGACATTAATTTTCACCACAAATTTCATACAACTCAAAATGAAATGACAAACAACTAAATATCAGTTACAGACAACTTCACGACTCTTACAGACAAATACAAATACAAACTACTAATAAACAAATGACAAACAATTAAATATCAATTACAGACATTATTTTTCAAATGACAGACAACTTCAAGACTCTTACAGACACTGCACTTACAAGTTGTCTGTCAGACAGACAACATTTTTTATTTCGAAAATACATCAAAAATCAAGAAAACAAAATCCAGAAAAGAAGATCTGCTACTCAAGTTATTCAAAGCTTCTTGATTTGCCTTCATTGTTGTCTTCCCTTGAGGTTGCATCCGAAATGGCAACCGGAGTAGGCCGGCCGTCGGCAATCGGCGTAGGGCCGCCGTTGGTAACGTCACCGGTGGAAGAGGAGATAAGCAGGAGAAGGTTGGATGGGGGAAAGATGGTAAAAATTGGAAGTCTTAAAGAAGGAGAAAGATATTGAAATGGAGAAGGTTTTCAAAAAAAATTGAAATGGAAAAGAAAGGGGAAGGGAGGGGGGTGCGTGAAAAAGAGGAGAGGAGGGAGGAAGAGGTGGGGTGCAGGAGAGAGGGAGGGGAGAGAAAAAGTGGGAGAGGGTGGAAAAAGAAAAGGAAAGTGGATGAGAGTTTTTATATGGGGTAAAAAATGGGATAAGTTTGAGGGTACCTGTTGCAAAATTGTAGCAATTTTCCACCTGATATTCCTTGCGCCTATTTCTTTTGATAGTGGGAGAAGAGAGAAAGTTCTACGCTAAAGTTATTCATCGTTGTAAACTTTTGATAATAGTGTAATTTTTGATTATATGTTTGTATTTTTAACTAGTTTTTATTAGTTCTAGTTGTGGAAATTACACACTTTTGGTATAATAATTTATTTTCAACTTATTTGTAATTTGTTTGGATTAGGAATATTCTGAGCTAAACAGGTCAAAAATCATTCAAGAGATCAACATTGGACCTTAAAAGATCAATGAACACTACTCGAGAATTGGTTTTTAACGTCGGTTATTTTGAACCTTTCACGTCGGTTTTGCAACTGACGTCTAAGTGAGAGACGTAATAGGTATATACTTTTTACATCGGTTCAAAAACCGACGTAAACTACGTATTTACCAACATTTATATAATATAATTAATAACAAAATATACAATCGTTAGTTCCATCCATCCAAAATTTACAATTTACACAAAGTGCAACAGCTCAAATATACAAACACAAGTAACTGCAAGAAATACATACACCGCAGCAGACTACGATTACAACTACAATTTATAAGTAAAAAAAATCTATATCATACTTCTAACACAAGGGACCACCCACCAGTCTCACAGATGATCGGACACCATCTTCTGCAAACTTGAACTTTGAACTTTCTTGTTCCTCCACATATTAGTGAACTGAAAAATTCAATTAAGCAAATAATTCAATCTGAAGAACTGAAAAATTCAATTAAGCAAATAATTCAATCTGAAGAAATAATGAACTTTTTTTTGAAAGAAGAAATAATGAACTGTTAAAAATCATTCAAACTAAACTGTCAAAATTCATTCAATCTGAGGAATAATGAACTGATAAAAATCATTCGATCTGAAAAAATTAAACTCAAATGTACAAATAACTATACTAACAAACAAGTAAATTAAATCCATTTTTTAAAATAAAAACTTTTATTAAAATGAGAAACAAAAAACACACCTGCAATTAAACAAAAAACACACTCTGCAATTAAACAAAAAATACACTGCAGAGTGCGGAAACCCAGAGGATGCGCAGCAGCAAATATTAAGTAAGCCTTCAGAAATCACTAAATGCTAACCTAACTCCAACAACAACCTGCATTATCACACCTGCAATTGATCCTTAGAAAAAAACAGCCCCAAGAAATAACCTGAACCTCTCAATTGCAATTCCAAGTGCTAGAGATCAGAAGAACAGCCCCATCAAAATTACAAAACCCCATGATCACAAGTTCACAACCAATCTACTTTGCACTCTTTAGAGCTTAATTTGTCCATTGCCAAGTCATAAAAACCATTGTCTACTCCAAGCCCCCAAACCAATTACCCAATCAAACTCCCTAAAATCCATTTAACAAGCTTTCTCCACACGATTAAGCAAAGCTTTCGCCAAGCCCCCAAACCGATTAAACTTTCATCCCCATTCATCCATATTTAGACGTATAATGTATAAAACTATATTAATCACTTTAATCAGTTAAGTATGTGAAACTGGTTATCATACTAGCTAAATTGTTAACAATTATCTAGTACATCAAATTGTGTATAAAACTAGTTAAGTAAACTGAGTTAGAGTTGAACTGATCAC